ATATAACAAAATTCTTTCTATAACTACCCTGAATTATCCCATAATTTATTCCCCAAATCCCAACTAATTGAGATATTCAAATCCCTCTTAATCCGATTTGATCATAATAGGAAATAATGCCGAAATGATAAAATATAGAAATTGCTAATTGCTGAATTAATTCCCGCAAGAATGTAATTGCCTATTCGTTTGAATCAATATATGATTACCTTTGGTAAAAAAAAAAGTAATGAGTAAAGAATAGTAACACAATGTGCTGATCCAAACAACCTGCAACCTTATCCGATCGCACTCGCCTAACTCATAACCCATCAACATGTAATCCGATCGACCTACAACCCATAACCTAAATGATCTGTAACCTGACTGACCCACAACCCGATAAACCCGAGCCCGACTAACTCGCAATATAATGAACATGAAACTCAACTAACTCGTAACTTGATTGAACCCACCCCGAACCCACCGATCGACACCTCTACTCTTAATTAGGGCTGGGAAAATAGACCAGACCATTAGAAAAACCGTGGTCCAAACCGTACCGCACAGTTTGGTCCGGACCGTAGACCGTGAAGTATGGTCTGGTCTGGTCCATGGTCTGTATTATTTTATGATTTGATTTCTTGGTCTGGTCTGGTCTAGACCGCGGTTTACCGCACCAAACCGTAGACCCAACTGACTTGTCAATACGTGTTAACAACCCATTCGACCACTCTCCAAACTCCCACAACGACACCCAAGTCTCAACCTTAATTTTGTGAATCTCTTCCCTCCTTCATTCACAACCACGTTTAACCACAGTAGAGATAATCGTGTCTCCATATGACATTATGTTAATGTTTATGACATTATGGTGCAAGCTGAGATGCTTTTACTTTGTATCTTTATTATGTACTAAGATTCAGAGTATCAAAATTATTCATGCATGTTAGGATTAATGTTTTAAGGCAAATAACAATTATTTTTCTTGGTTATTGGTTCAATTTTTTGTGTGGTTGACTAAACAAATTATTCATTTTTCGTTGAGTGTGGTCTATCTAGACCAGACCAGACCAGACCGAACCAGACCGCACAGGCGTGATCTGGACCAGACCGTATAGTCAGTGGTCTGATCTGTGGTCTATACTTTAGCCTCTCGATCTGGACCGTAGACCGTATATATGGTTTGGTCTGGACCAGACCGCACCGTTTCCCAGCCCTACTCTTAATGATACAAATGGATGTGACTTTCATCACTGATCAATAATCGACACCTATACTCTTAAAGAAGGCCCAACCCATGAAGAGAACAGCAGCCCATATACACATTGGGAGACTGTAAAGTTGAAGCTTACATAATCGAGCCCAAGCCCTAACCGGTTAGATAAAGGAGTACGGAGGGGCATTCGTGACTTCAATCGCTCTGCTCTCTGCTATTCTCCGCTGTGCTTTTCAAATATCTACTCTCGTCCGCCGCTGGCACGATCTTTCTTTCATTCGTCTATCGTCGCGGTGCTATCTTTCTCCGTTCACAAGCTCCTTCCATGATCACCCAGCTCGGAGACGATCTCCTCGTTGAGATTCTCATCCGCCTCCCCGATCCTAGACCCGCCTGCCGCTGTAAATCAGTCTGCAAGCGGTGGAGCTCCCTCATCTCCACTCCCTCCTTCAACCGCCGCTTAATTCATCACCACCACCGGAGTTGGAACCAACTCCCTCTGCCGGAGGATCCGAACGAGCTGCAATCGACCGTCCGGAGCTTCCTCCCTCGCGTGCACGTCCGAGACGAATGGAGAGTTCTGGATTGCTTCAAGGACTGGGTTTTGTGCGGGTTCTGGGATTTGGATAACGACAACCACGAGTCGAGGAGATCGTACTTGGTCTGCAATCCGTTCACCAAGCAGTGGGTCGCCCTTCCTTTAGCGCCTAAAAAGCATGTTGACTACGCCCAATCCCTCGCCAGGTTAGTTTGTGAACCCTGCAATCCTAGGAAATTTGATCTAGGAGATGATGAACAAGCATTCGTCTATTCTTCCGAGTATCGATTCCGAGTCGTGTGTATTTATAATGTGGGGCCGACTACGATGCTAGACGTGTTTTGTTCCGAGTCCTGGAAGTGGACCAGGGAGATTCTTGTTATCCGTCGCTGTCTGAGGATCGGAAACAAAACTGTAGTTTCGTGCCATGGGGAGTTGTTCTGGTCCTATCATAAATTCGAAGATCTGAAAGAAGACCGGCTCCATGGTTCGGTGGCGGCCTTCAATCCTTTCCGTCTCGATATACCCCCCACTTCCATTGATGTTTCTGCGTTTGACGCTAAACCGTGGTGGGTTATTTCGGGCTCGCAAGGCGCATTGCACGTGATTGCATCCGAGGGCAGAGTAGGTGTCATTGGGCGGCGTTTAAGTGTTTGGAGATTGGAAGAAGACCGACGATCCTGGAGGAAACTGTGTGAAGGGTTGGTATGCAACAAGAAATCGAGGTGTGGTAACTATCGAGTTGAGAGATGCCATCTTGAACTGTGCCTACATCCATGTAAGCCAGAAGTTTTGTTGTTTAACTGGCTTGATGGGGGTGATGCGAACGCTAAACTGTCCTGGGATCTGCAAAGAGAAGAGGTGGAGTTTTTTGCTGAGCTAGAAGGTGGCGCTGCTGTCGGTCATATTATGGTGTTCCAACCTCGTGTCCATTGCTGGCCTACTTCGATCCAATGTTCAGAGATTGTACCCTACCGCCCGGACGAACCGGTAATATCGCTTATTGGGCAAGAAAGGGTAGGCGGTTTTACCGTACGAAACGGTTGAACTACCTTAGCTTTAGTAAAAAATACATTTTCTCATAATTCTCCGATATAACTTTGGGTAAGGTTTCCTAATACTTGCTTCAATCATTAGTTAGATGTTGAAAATTGTTCTTTTGTGTTATTGCTATTGACACCGCTACAGATATAGACAATTTGTTTCCCACAATTGCTTTTCTAGTGGTAGGTAATTTTGTAGGAATACTCAATTTCTTTTTCCTTTAGAACATAAAAGCTAGCTACGGTTTTCTGCTCTCATTGGTTGGTTACTGTTTCATTTTTTGTCTTTTAGTGGAGATTGGTAAAAGGCCTTCCATCGATTTCCTTCCCTACATACCCCTTCCGGATTCCATGCATCGACGAAACTCTGCCTTCCCTCATTGTAGTGAAGTGACAATGCTTCCCCTTACTGGTCGTACGAGTGTATCTGTAGCTGGCCCAGGCCCCCTGCCATTCTTCCACTGATTTCCTCACATTTTTGGAAGTCCATGTCGCGTTTGTTGCTCAGACGCACGAACAACAGCAGAAACCTCTTCTAGACACGCCAACGGCCATGATTCGTACTGACTTGCTTTATATCTCTGTTGCACTAACCTCTACCTTACCACGAAATCCGCAAGCACGGGTCAGCTTTCTGTCCACTCCACTTCGGCTCGACACGCCACAGCCCATGAATTGTACATCCCTCTCCTTACTCCCTTCGATTTGTGGAAGAGTGACCTCATTCAATTCAACCCTATCGATTTCTTCTTCGTCTCAATGATTTCGACAAACTTTCCTTTTTCTTCTCATCCCTCTTCTACCGTAGAGTCAGATTTTCATACATTCATTCTAGATATGGATTTCGGGAGAGGAGCAACAGTCAATTGGGAGGAGGAGGGAAATTAGAGTATTGCCATCTCATACTCTCTGGTTCCATATTGGAGAATTGTTGTTGGCATCTGCATTGTCGAATGATGTTGTTGGCATCGCCTGAAGGAAGAGGGGAAGCAAATTCAATGCAAGGTCGAGAAGGCAGTATACGGACTGAAAGCCGACAGAGAAGATGGAGTTCAACACTAGAAGTGGAGGTCTTCCGGAATGATGGCATCTCACTACCCAACTGTTGATAAGGATTGAATACCTGAGTTTGAAATTATTGCTTATTTGTTATGGAGTTTGTTCAGTTTACTGTACCTAGCTTTGTGTGCTTTGGTTCTGGTATTTACGAGGTGAAGATTGATCTAGCATGACAAGAAGATGATGATGAGATTTAACTCTACGAAAAAAACTCAGTGTTGATTTAATTTCTTCACCTTCTTTCAACTGTGAAACAAGTTGCTGTAAACTTGCACCACCAGGTAAACATCTTCTTCACCTTCTTCCTCATGGGTGTTTATAGATTCCTATTCCAATGGAGTTGAAACTCTCTCTCCCACTTGGTGGTTAATTTTGGGTTCTTGGCAATCACTTTGGTATATTTCTCTTATCTGGTTTCTTTTGAATAATCATACTGGTGCCTCATGGTTTTGATCTGGATTTGGTTGGATTTGCAACGAATGTGTACCATAGAGATATCAACCCAAGAAAATGAGTGGTGCGTTGTTTTTGTTATCTGTTTCATGCGCTAATCTAAGTTTTAGCATTATTTGTGTTTTGTATTGATCACAACAGAGCCTCCCTCTCAATCGCTTTGTGGACGAAGTTTGCTGCAAGTTAGGTCTTCCTAAACTCATTCAATTGGATGGAGCTGCACCATTGATTGTGGAATTTACTATCAGGCTCTTAATTTGGCGTGGTGCACTTTTACATGTTCTTCAGTTATTATTACTTGATGTCCAACTTGTAATTTTGGTTGAGTTATAAGCAGCTCGCCTAAGCAAGCCAGTACTGCTCATCCTTCCTTTGTCGCTTTGGCTTGTAAATGTGGCGAACTTTTTACTAATTAGAGTACAAAAGTTAACAGCTCTCTTATTTCATTTTTGTTTAAGTCGTGGGGAAACTTTGATCCATTATGTTCCTTCCTTTTTATTTTATCGTGATGTGTAGGCTTTGCCCACTACAACTTTTACCATCCAAATCTTCCATTAAAGCAAATGCCATTCTACACCTAACCTCTCATTCTATAACTTATTGTTTTCATTCTGCTTTCTCACTTCGTACAAATCTAATACAGCTAAACTTATTTGGACTAATTAATCATGATTTGTTGTATTTGCTTGCTCACCTCTGAATAAGATCAATAAAGACGCACCTGAAATCACCGTTTTGCAGGTGTGTTGAGGTAATGAACTGTGGAGCCTTTTCTTGCTTAAAAGGATTGGTGTGGGTGTTTACACAACGATGTTATAGTTCTACTTAAACTGCTTCTCTTAGACTATTTTCTATTTTTTACTGAAGTTGTGCAGAGAAAATTGTTTGAAACAACAGCAGTATCTGCACCAGCACAAACAGCAGCAAGAGCAAAATCACCAACAACAGCAGTGTTTCTGTAAACTTCAGAGGGGGTTCATGTATTTCAGTCTGTGCTAGGTACCAGTCCATCCGCTTTCATTTGTTTCTAAATTTCATGTTTTCTGTAGGTGGCACCATATATCACTAGACTGTCTTTGGTGCTTCTCTAAATAGTCTGTTAATTCATTAGTTTTAGTTCGCGATTTACAAAGAACATGTGCTTCATTCATCGTGATATTAATTATTATGGCAAACAACAAACTCTTGGCTTTCAAGTTCGAGATCAGGGTACTTACAGGGTGATGGTAAGTTTCGAGTTATGTTTCGGTTTTTCAATTTTTGAGTGAAGATTATTACAGTGAACTCTTCTAGACTGAATTTGCTCATGCATTTGCTTTGTTTTATGTGGATACTTGACTCCCAAGCTTGCTTATACACTGGGTGAATCGGTTCAACTAGTGTAAGCTGTTAATGGATCCCTTTCTATATTGTTTTTACAGTCACCATTTTCTTTACGTGCTGATGTTGTATTTCTGATGTCGTTGGTCTGAGTTCCGATAATGTTGGTTGCAAGTTGTTGTTGCAGTTGTTCAGGTTGTTCTTCTAAGCTTTGATGATCGTTATAATATGTTGATTGGTTTACATTTCGTTTCTCATGATCTCCTTAATGGTATAAGGCCATGGAGTTAGCTTCATCTCAGACCATGCTTAATAACTTAGGTCTCTATTTAAGGGTTGCAGATGGCTATAGTGATTGACCACCACAAACATTAGAGAAAATTTTTAGAGTTTATCAATTGAGCATCATTCTACTCATTTTGATGAAAACAAGTATGTTTGCTTAAGCCGTTCTCATATTTTTTGTAGGACCTTCATTGAAAGAAAAAGGTTGTTTCCATGAAGAACTACAAGACTCCTTAGCTGGAATTTGGCCTGAACAGTCGAGCAATATTGAGTAGCAAAGTTCACAGGAGCTAAGGAAAATAAACTGAGAAGGAAACTTAAGTATCAGAATGTGTGGGGTTCGCGTTGCCCTGCAAAGTGAAATCGTGTGGGATGACAAAGAGTATATTGTTGTGCAGGGTTTAAGAGCAGGCTTTGCTGCAAAATTTTGTTGAAGACAACTTATGTATGGCAGATCTTCAAGCCTTCATGTTTACAGCTATTGTGGGAGAAGGATTGGCAGCATCATTAAGCAACTAAGATTGAAGTTTAAATGTTAAATAAATGTTAGTGCACCATTGAATGAAAAGTTATGGAAGAAGGTTGAAGTTGAATGTTAACCTGATGGAAGAATAGCCATTCTACTTTGCCAATATATGAAAAGCAATTAACGTTCAAATGCAATTTTACTGTCTTCCAATCAAATTGTTGCAATTTACAGTCTCTCAATCAAGTTGTTGCAATTTTTACCTTCTTCCAAATGCATATAATTTTTACAGTCTCTCAATCAAGTTGTTGCAATTTTACTTGCCTCGTGGCATAGCCACGTGTATCAATTCTAGTAAGCTCTTGTTCTGCATCCTTGTTGATGAAATAAACATTCCATGAAATTGAAGTTCTTTGTCATTCTACGTGTACAGGTAGTTCATTATTGGGAATTAAATAAAAGAAATCTATCTTCTTTAAATATAAAAGAAACATAAAGTATTTTTTAGCTAAACACGACCATCAAATGATGCTGAACTATCCACTCGCATGAATTTCTACTGTATCTCAAAATTCAAAAGCTTTAAGAGAGGACAAGGCATTATGTAGCATTTATACTGATACATCACCAGCCCATAATCGAGAAGTACAAATTGAAAAAGCAACCGTGGCAAATCAAACAAAATGCAAGAACGATACAAAAGAAGGCAGCAAGGGTAGGGAAATTTGAGCTTGACGATGAACTTAATTAGAAGTGAAATTAGAGCAATTGGAGGGATATCTTCTGTGCATCGTTCATAAATGCATCGATTATCATCAAATTTCTAGAGTTCACTTCTATATGTTATATCAAGCTCAAACACAAAGCAACATGTATCTGTTATAGATGAAAGTGCTAAACACATGTAAAGTTCGCTAAACCTCATTTAAGCTTCATATTACTGCTCAAAAGAGAGAAATGGATTTAATTTAGGATGATTTTGCAATGGTAATTTAGTATTCTAACCTTCAACTTAGTGGTATTAATATCAGCATAACATCATTTAGTTGAGAGGTGCAGCGAGGAACAGAAAGACCTCCAATACACAAACAACAAAGAGAATTGGATGACTAACACATCTAGCACAAGTAACATGGAGCCAAAGCAACTCATGAGGTTCTTTCTTGTGCATACTGGTGTTTCTGTTCACTATCGAATATCTTGTCAAATCCATGTGCACTTGAAAAATAAAATAGGTTTTCACAAATCTTATAGTGCTTCTTTATTAGCTTACAATTCCCTTGTAATGGAATAACTTTTCTCTTCTTGATTAGTGTGACATTTATGGAGAGGTAGAATATACAATTTAAACTTAATAACCTTCCCTAAAGATATTATCTTTCTATCCGGGGTAAACCTATATTGTAGTAGATCGGTCCAATTGACTCCGTCGGGGATTACCCGGACAATATAGGATGAGGAGTGGATTATCTCCCTCCTAGGTCAAAAGCTCAATTGACATGAACATGAAATGGAATCCAAAATCATGCAATCCATGAAAACCATCCATCAAATTAATAATGAATGCAATCAAACATAGGATTTGTCACATACATCAGCATTAAACCAAAATCTAGACCTACGGTTCATCAACGTAAGAGAAGAGGTCTAATTCATAGAGAGAGAAGAGAGGTTAAAAAACAAGCTCAATATCTTCTTCTTTTTCATCTTCTAGGATTGAGTCCTTGACTCAAAGATCAACCCAAGCCTTCAATTAAACTCGGAGATCACTCTCTCTCTAGAACTCATCTTTGGTGTTTTGGGTCGAAACCCTAGAGAGAGAACCAAATTCTTCTCCGAAACCATCTCCCCTTTCTCTATCCCAGCTGCTGCATTTTTATAATCTCCGAGAGCCAATGTCACCCCCATGGCAGTTGCCCGTGACATTGCAGCCCGGTCGTGATCTCATCTAAAAACGCAGGCACTTGCTACCAATTGGAAATTGTCACGGTCTGGTGACCGTGACAATTGATCTGCCCGCGAGATGTGCAAACCCTTCTAATTCTGGAAATCATCATGCCTCGGGATCAATTATTACGGCACAGAGGTCGTGACAATTACCCCAAAACTGTGACGTTGGCCTTTTCTTCACTTTTGGTGCTTTTCGACCTACAATCTTTTTGAAAATCGTCCTCGACCTTCACACAGGTACTAGTTCCTGAAATATAACAAAAGAAGCACAACCTAGCATAAAATAGGTCGAGAGATGATGATTACCAAGTTAAACGACCAAGAAATGAAGGCAAAATGTGTAATTATGCTGAATCAAACTCCCCACACTAGAACATTTGCTTGTCTCCAAGCGAACCATGTACAAAACAAGGTAAGATTACAACTTCTTTTTCAAAAAAAAATAGGGCATGTCATATGGAACAGAACAAATGAATCTCAATGGCTATATGACATCAACATATGGACAACATCAACAACAATCCTAACAACCACCACAAATAACATTCGAATGCATTAACGACGTGCAAATGAAGTGGTCTCACTCTGTCCTCATACCAAAACATAATATGTAATAACGACTCCCCAATCATAGTTATCCATGCATAAAGATCACGTCATAGGAATAAATGATCGAGCAAACTAGGTCCTCAGGGGGATATATGATATGAACATGGAAAGATGAATGAATCACTCACTCTCGAGCAGTAGGGTCAAGACCATTTGATGCGAAAGATGTGCATACTCAATATCCAACCCTATCGTCTCTTCACTAGGACGGTAGCCTCTAAATGCTAGTGCTCACAAGATGGGTGTCATCACTAGCTTGTCTGGATGTCTGGGACACGGGTTCAGATGACTGGTTAGGGTCTAGAACATGGGTAAAAGGGTTTTTGGGTAGTGGCAAACATAGCATGAGGTTCCACATCTTCAACCTAAAACCAACACAAGGTTCTATGTTTTCAACTAGAACCTTGTTCTACATCCAATGGCCACTAGCATCGGTAAAAAAAACCACACTTCCCACAATTCCAAACCACAACCAATCACCAAACCATTCACAATAAACTTTCTTTGCTACACTTGCTAACAAACATTGCAAGCACAAAAGTGAAGGAGGAAAACAATCATCTATGTGTTCCAAAACTTGACTACTAAGATACACATTTTTAGAGCATACATGATTTTTGTGGCGGCTCTCCTTTCTTCCTAGCCCTATTTTTTTTCTTCTTTTCTTTACAACTTGTGTAACACCCCACCCATAATCTCATCTCTATGGTTGAACCCGTGGTTCCACCGCGCAGCCAAATCCTCGGTGTTACATGTTGAACTCAATCATCTTAAACATCATATCCGATAATTAAACACACACATAAACCGTTATCATACAAGCTCATTATTTGAACTCCAACCCACTTATTGAATTTTACAAAACTTGGGTTTATTATTCAAAACACTCAAAGCAAAAATCCTAGGTGACCATGACAGAACAGTGTTCCAAACTACCTCATGATGGCAGTACAGGAGGATTGGGCAGCCTCAGTAGTCCGATACTAGTTGCACTTGCGAGTCTGAAAACAGACGTAGGTCAACAACTAAGCTGTGTGTGTGGATCTTTCCCATGACCCAATTTTGGGACCGCAATTAGCTAATCAAACAGTCATAATCAATCGTAATTTAGTACCTTAGATGCCATCTTAAATCATCATATATAAATTATCGATCAATATATTGAATCCACCAACTCATCATCACCGAATCAATATATCCAATAAGATAATCACATAATTTCACGAACACGTAATCGATGCATGATATGAAAATTCTGGTTAATTACTAATGGCGCCAAGGTCACCATACACTTACCCCCGCTCGAGCAAATCATCATCCGTGGTGCTCATGCAACCACAACACTCAATCCGTGGTTTTCAACCACAACACTCATCCGTGGTGCTCATGCAACCACAACACTCAAT